CATACCAATTCATAGCCCATGACCAGAGGAAGGGTTAGAGACATATTAGAGATCTTTCTTCCCACAGTTTTGTGTTTCTTAGATTTCTAACCCAAAACTTTTAAACTGACCCATCCTCTTTTACCAATTCCCTTCCCTGTAGAAGGGAATTTCCTTAGGAACTTCTTACAGGAGCTTCTTAAGTTCCTATAAGAAAATACACCTACTTTCTGCTTCTGCTGAAACATACTTGGGCCTTACATGACCTGTTCTCTTGGTAACATYCACCTTTTTTCTGACTTTTCTCCTCTTATTGCCCACTTTTTCCCAGGAGCTCTCCTCAAAGCAGGGATGCTTAGGGAGAGGGCAGCTGCTGGGCACACGGGCTCTCCGACGGACCCCTCGGCTGCAGCAGCTCCCTGGGACACCTCGTGCTCCCCCATGACCGCAGGGGCAGCCAGCTGGGCCTGGCAAAGGAGGTTTTTTTGCCTGTCTCTACACTTTAGACCAGCTCCAGCCCACACCGACGGTTCATCGCTATTTTCCCTGCAATGGTGTTCTTAGCAGAAGATTACTGTCCTCGGGCATAGTAACAGCCTCCTGAATTCGACATGCTCGAATAGACTTTGAGGGAGGCATGTTTTTTCACAGTTTGAGTCCTAGCTCTTTTCCTCCAGGGTAGAGCTACACTCCAAATAGCCTTCCCTCTCTTTCCGCTGTCTCGGTTTGAAACACCTAGMGTTTATCTCATGCAAGTCTCTAGCTATTTTTTTGGAACAGCAATATTTTAAAACCAGTAATCTGTTGTGATCTGCCCTAACCAAGTCGTGCTTTTAAAGCAGAAAACATCAGAATATCTGAATAACAAAGGCAGGGAATAAAAAAAAAAAAAAGAGAAAAAAAAAAGGGTGTCTCCTGCTTAGGCCGGCTCAGTTGGCAGGTACAGCCTGAAGGATGTTTACAGCCCCGAGCGGATTAGAGGCCAGAACAGCAGCCGTAAAACGATCCAACGATCCAGTATTCGGACTTTCGCGGAGGATGTTGTGCAAGCGCCGGAGCGGCAGCCTGACCTTTCACTCACTGAACTTTGCTCGGCCAGGCCCCATCCCGAGCGTGTTTGCGCGGAGCCGACAACCTCTCACCCACTTGGACTCCCTTTCCCAGCGGGAGCCCTCTGGGCCGCGTGGCGGCTCCTGCGGCTGCGCGACGGTGCCTGCCAGGAAGGCGAGCGCAGGAAGGTATGAGCCGGGCGTTGCAGCTATTCCTGATGTTTTTTTCCAACAAAGGGCTGCGTGTATATTTAGAAAATAAATCTCATGGCATGTTGACCCACATGGATAAGTGCAGAACTGTACACAAGCAGAGACTGGCGGCTTTGCTTGYGGTATTGCTAGAAATTTGACCAAGTGCCACGAAGAGAGCTCACACCCTTCCGTCACCAGACCATTCCCCCCTTTAACATCCAAAACCTGCCCACCAAACCCTAACAACCGTTACTCAGTTTCAGCCAAGTTTGAAAGATAATCCATTYCCTACAAACTTATTGCAAGCTGACAGCTATGTTTGAAGAGATTCAAGTTTTGGTCYCCACTGGTAGGTATGGGGAGCATGGCCACGATGCACCCTACTCGACAGCAGCAACCCTGCCAGGCGTCACACGCATTTCCACTGTGCAGGAGAGGAGCTGCGACCCCAGCAGAGCACTTTGTGCCTCCAGCACCTGTTGGCAAGTGGTTGAGGAGGGAGAGCCTTAAATTTCCATCCCTACTGAGGAAACCGCAGGACAAAGTCAGCTGTGATATCTTCTGCTGAACAAAGAGGGCACGGCCGATTGCCATGTACCCATCCTAGCCCAYGGGGAGCACAGCTGTGCGCCAAGCATGGCATGAAATGCCTCCATCACCCAGGATGACATCAGGAACATTGAGGAGGTGGGGAGAGGGATCATCTGATTGCAAGGGCTACCATTYTAGGGGACAAATGAAAAGGACCATGGTCCTACTTATTCTGCTGTTTTGCAACTGGCTGCTGTGCAAAGTGGAATGGTAAAACTCTATTTACTTATTTACTCTAACAAATGAAACAGGAAGTTCTATCTCCATATGAGGAGGAGCTTCTTTACTGTGAAGGTAACAGAGCCCTCGAACAGACTGCCCAGAGAGATTGTGGAGTCTCCTTCTCTTGAGATCTTCCAAACCCGCCTGGATGCTGCCCTGTGCCATGTGCTCTGGGTGTCCCTGTTGCAGGTCCCTTCCAACATCAACCATTCTATGATTCTGTGAAACAACAGCTGAATGTGTTGTTATACCCTTTTCAAAACTTGCCTTGGGGCATTACAGAAGAGAAAATGAAAATATTAAAACAGCAACACTGATATAGCATTTGACGATCACTACCATTCAGAATTTGACACCGTTTTCTCTAGCAAAGTTGTTTTCTAGCACCAAGACCTGCAATTGTCACRTGTACTAGGACTGCAAGTGGAGGGGGGAAGCGGTGATTCAGAGAGGAAAGAACAGAGAGGGAGAACAAACAGTTCTGTACTTGGGAGAGATTGTGAGTTATTTAAAGTGGTTACAATATTCACAGGCCAGTTTTCTATTCACATGCAACTTGGCTGATTGGAAATCCAAGCAAATCGTTACTTTGTGCATTAAAAAAAAACCAGCTGGTGGGCTTATATTCAGAACCTTCCTAACAGTTATTGCCCAGCTACATCACTCATTTCTTCAGGGATGGGAAATCATATTGCTGCAAATACTCTGTGATGTATGCGCCATTATATAAAGAGTTACAGAGGCAAATTTGCACTATGCAGGAGACAAGCTTCCTTCCAGAAGCAGTAATTACAGTAACTGCTAGTTGTTGGAATAATACTTGTGGGCTGCTGGTATGTAAAATTCTTGTAGAAGTCTGGTCTGTTTTGAAAAGCGTCCACGTTTTAAATTGCTGGAGCCTTATTCCTTCAGTAATTGGGAAAGGCAACACTTGCCCTGCATTTCCTGCAACTGCTGTTCTGCTTGTTAAGGGCTAAGCAGAACCTTGAAGGCTTTTGTTCATCCCATCACTGCACAGAACTGGTAGGAAAAATATGAGAAAAGCAAGTTCTATGAAGACAAGGAATGCAAATGGCAACAATTATTCCTAGTACATGTTTTCCTTTTCAGAAAGGAATATGTAATACGACTACTCACAAAGGTTATACAAGTTCTTTGTATTTAGCAGGGCCAGCATACAAGCAGATTAAAATGGAGGATGTCAGTGGGAAGCAAACAGTGAAATTATAAACTAAACTGTCTAGTGCAGATGATTTTGTTTACAGAAAAAAATGTTAATCTTGAGATGATTTCTCAATGACTTATTTGCTTCAGGAAGAAAATCAATCAAACAAACAAACAAAAAATGCATGTTCCACGATTCAAATATGACGATTTTTTTTAAACCTCAATGACTCATCAGTAACTTGTAGGAAAACAAAGTTAAGTCAGTCAAAATGAAACCCCAGCATCTATTTCCAGATAGTAATCATCTGGAAAGAACAGGAAAAAAATAAAAAGGTTGCATTTGCTATTGCTAGATGTCTTTATTTTGCTTCATTTTGCATTTCATATGCCAACACTTCTGTTATTGTGACCAAGACTAATGCATCTCATGAAACAATAGGGGAGTAACTTATCCATGGTGAGAGATAAAATAATGACAATAGCAAGTTTTGTAGAACTGGAACAGTAAACAAAGAGAGCAAAAAGATGAGTAGGACGGCAAAAATGAGATAAGCTTCGTAAAAAGAAATACTAAGAACAAGCTAGTGGTCTTCTCTGTATATTAAACTAAATATGTGAATTTATTGTTCAGAATGTATATTGCTATCAAAAGGACATCCATGCATATACATATTTGTGTGTGCTTATATGCACTGGGCTGAGAAGTTACATGTGGAGAATAAGACTAGATGTTTTTGCATCGCTGTTTTGTTGTCACTTGATCCTGCTGCTAGTGACCAAGGTTTGGSATGATGGGATCTTCTTTGCTGAGGCTAACTCCACTCTTCACCACCTTGTGCCAACGCTGCTGTTAGGGAAGCAGACTTGAGGACCTGGTAAAACGCCAGCCAGCACGGGAGAGCAAAGGTGTCCCTCCACAAAAGGGGATGGATGAGCAGACTTTTCCCAGCACCCCTCTGATCCTGCAGGATTAGTTAGCAGCGAGAGAGCAGCTCAGTCAATCAATTCTTAGGTCAGCTGTAGAGAGTAAATAGGGTCACTTAGGCATTTGCGTCACCAAAGCAGCTGTCTTTTAAATATTTGATCACTATTAATCGAGGTCACCACGAAGACCTACAAACTCCGTATGCTTAAGATGCAACCCATGCCCCCTGCATTCCCACACATTTTGTGAGCAAACTCGGGGCTTTTGGTAATTCTCCCGGTGGCGTAGTCTGCGCGTAGGGAGGCTGCAGGGCCCAAGGTTTCGTGTCAGGATGGCGCTCGGTGTTGGCAGCACAGAGCGGGGATCCCGGGATGCGCCAGGCGGTGCTGGGTGCCACATCCAGCACCCAGCGGGGCCCGCGCACACCGCTGCTGTGGGTGTTGGGTSCTCCGGGGCTGCACGAGCCTCGAGGGCTGCCCACTGCCATCCGGAGGGTGTGAAGTGACGGAGATGGCGGAGGGGAAGCCCCGCGGTGCCCCCCGCGYCGCGACATGGCGCCCCCAGCCCCAGGGCCGCGGGCAGCCGCTGGTGCCGGCGGCGCGACCTTGCCCCGCGCCCGGCGGTAAACAAGGTCAGCGGGCACGGCGGCGGCGCCCGCGGGGCGTCACGCGTGTCCCCGGCCGGCCCCGCGCGTGACGGAGCGCCCCGCCGCGGGGCGGGCACGGAGCGCGCCCCGCCCGCAGAGCCGCTAAATAGGGGCGGCCGCGGCGGCGCCGGGCACGGAGCGCGCCCGGGGGCAGCGGCGCCGAGCGGCAAACCCCGCACCGCGACCCGCGCCCCGCACCGCGACCCGCGCCCCGCACCGCGCCGCCATGAAGGCCGCCCGCATGGCGCTGCGCAGCGCCGCCCCGCTGGCCGCGGCCGCCGGCGGCCGCCTGCCGCTCGAGGTGGAGACCTTTTCGCGCTTCTCCCCCTCGCCGCTCTCCATCAAGCAGCTGCTGGACTTCGGTGAGAGCCGCGGCACGGCACCGTACGGCACAGCGCGGCACGGCACGGCGCGGCGCGGCACGGCGCGGGACGTTCAGCCCCGCCGGGGGTTGCGGGAGGCGCGGGCTGGCGGCGCGGGGTGCCGGTCACCCCGCAGTGCTGCTCTCGTGCCCGCGCCCAGCCGGCTCGGGGCGCCATGAGCCGCCACCCCGCGGCTGGATGTGCCCAGGGCCGGTGRTCGCCGCGGCAGCTCTAAAATCCCGCTTCCCAAGGGTGATGCTGCCGCACGGCACCCTTGGGAAGCGAGCTCCCGGGGTGGCTCTCCCCGTGCCGGGGACTGCACACTGGGGCTGTGCTGAAACATTCCCATTTCCCGGTGTTCCCGCAGGGAACGGGCAAGGAACGGGCCCTGCTGTCACATAACAGCACTGAGCACAAGCACTTACCTGCGTAAAGTAAGGGAAAACGGCCCAGTAATAGCGGGATGGTGACAAACCCAAAGTCCTGGAGTCTGTAGTGAACTGCACAGACAGTGGTTCATACTTACACAGTAGAACTTTATTTATTTATTTATTTATTTGCAATGGATTTGTTTTATAGGCTCGTCTAATGGCTGTGAAAGAACGTCTTTTGCATTTCTGCGACAAGAGCTTCCTGTGAGGTTTGCAAATATTCTGAAAGAAATTGATCTTCTTCCCGATAAACTGCTAAGCACTCCATCAGTAAAGCTAGTAAAGAGCTGGTAAGTATGAACCATGAAATTCTGCCTGCAAAATAACATGACATTAGCAACCCTGCCATCCTAGCCCTTATATGAAGAACAGGTAACAACAGCAAATTGTCACAGTTGTTTGCTGCAGCAAATAATACACTAGAAATGCAGTCTCTTCCTCAAAGTTGAACTGCAACCTGTTATGCTTTGTCTAAAATACTWAAGTTATAAAAAAGCAACATGGATATATTTTAAATCATATCTTTTGACCTCATCTTTGAAATAGTTCACAGTGCAAATTTATGTTCTGACCTTTAAGAAGGGAAAGAGGTAAAGGTGTCTGTTGTTCCCATCTAGTTCTAAAGACCTGCAAAACTGCCACAAAAAGGGAGAGCAGACTACGTGCTTGTTTGATTCTCTCTCTGATGAAGTTTATTACTATGGTTTCAGTCTGCAGCATAGTGCCTTGGCATGTGTACTGAATGCTTGGAATTCAGTTTACATGATCTCTCTGGTTACTGACAGTGGTTGAATATGAGTTAACCTTGCTTTACGGGCACAGCTGCGGTGTTGGGGCGGATGGCTGACATAAAGGACAGAAARTATTTGGGTGAGATCCAGAAGCTGTCCTTAATAATCTAGCAAGCTGTAGTTGTGCCTTTGCAGATCATGTTTTGGACGTCAGAGCTTGTCCTGGCTTGACTGGACAAAGAGGCTAAAGTGCTTAGCTTGTGCCAAGCTGATCAAGATGAGAATAAGGTTTCCTTAGCTGACTTCCCGATCAATACTTGTGAAACACCTCACTTTTCCCGAGAACTGAACAGGGAGCCTAGATTTCTAAAGTGAGGTTTTAGATTCCAGACTGGGTGGCAGGCACAAGAAAGAAAGTGTCATTTAAAATCTCCAGTGTTAAGATGTTCAAGAAATAACTATCCATGATTCCACACCTCAGTGGATATTTGATACTTTAAGCTTTTAGATGACTTGTATAAGAGTAATGATTAGGACAAGATCTTTTTTCATTTCCTAGACTAATAACAGTCTAATGAATAGCATGTATTTCCTATATTCTTTTTCAATAGGTACATCCAAAGCCTAATGGAGCTGGTTGAATTCCATCAGAAAAGCCCAGATGACCAAAAAGTCTTACATGAGTAAGCTTTTMCTTAGTTTTCATTCAGCTTTTTGTCTTGAATTATTCCAAATGTAGTCAGTTTAGAATGACAGCACTGTTGTTACCTCAACTTGATCATCTGTCAGGAAATGTTGCACTTAGAACAAACTAGGTGAAATCTTTGATCATGCTGTAGCAATAGTGCAAATAAGTATGACCTGTTGGGGCTTGCTTTTGGGCCAGTACCATAAGCTGGTATGACAGTTATATCAACCAAAACTACCTGTGATGTCAGGTCATCCCTGCTTCTTCCAAAAGTGTGAACTGGAGGCCTTCCTCCCTCTACRTTCTCCTCTTCTGAGGCTATTAGAAGTGAATAAATGGAAATTGAATTGGACATGGCTAATAAACACAGCTTTTCATATAAAAATATCAAGCTCTTCTGCTTTAGATCTGTGACAAATTAGTGTTTTCTGTTTTTTGTTTTTTTTTTTTACTTTTAAAACTACTTAAACTATTTTAATATAAAGGTTACTCTGCACAGTCACTTCTGTTACTGCATTGTATAATTTTATACAAATGTTGCCTTGTCTTAGAATAATGTTCTAAAGAGACCTCATTTTGATTTAGTTTTATAGAAACATTAATTAGAGTCCGAAACAGACATCATGATGTGGTTCCTACAATGGCGCAAGGAGTAATTGAGTACAAAGATACTTTTAAAGTAGATCCTGTCACCAATCAAAATATCCAGTACTTTTTGGATCGTTTTTACATGAGCCGTATTTCTACCCGGATGCTGATGAACCAACACAGTAAGTAGAAATTCTTATCTGAGGAAAAACTTCAGCTTAATGAGAAGCATGTTAGTGTAAACTTCTCCTAAAGCTGTTGCAGATCTGCTTCAGATGAGTCTGTGTGACAGTGAAAAGCTAGAGACAAAACTTATGGATTTTTAAAGTAATAAAATATCGGTTTTCATACTAACTGTAGTAAGTCTTGCACGGAAAACTTAGAGATCTCTTTGTTTTTTGAAAAGCCTTTGGATGTTTAACCAGAGAAGCCAGTATAGCTTGCAGGCRGCAGGTAGCTTTGTAACTTAAAAAACGTAAGAGATGCTGAGTATTGTTTATGGTTATGTGCTGTGATCACACCATGTTAGTTTGAACTAGTTTTTCATAATACAGTATTTGGAATTAAATACAGTATTTTCTTTATCCCAAACAGCCCTCCTTTTTGATAACAATGCTGGCTCAGGGCACCCCAGGCACATTGGGAGTATTGATCCATGCTGTGATGTTGTTGAAGTGGTGAATGGTATGTATATTCTCACAACATAACTAATTGTCTTTGTGATCAGTGCTTGCTGGTAATTAACAGGCAACCAATATGTGTTTGTATAGGGTGTTGACAGTTCTGGCTTTGCTTTGTGTGTGTGTGTGTATTTTCTTTTTTTTTTCCCCYGTAATGCAGTGTCTGAAAACAGCTGAAATGTTTCCTTCTATAGAGTAGAAAAAAYTAAAATAGCAATAAAATGTGTCTGAATAGCAAGTGATAAATGAGGTGGGAGTTGAAGTTGTCTATGATGACATCAGTAACATCTACTGTTAGATAATTATACCCCAGATGCATCTGTTTTACAGACTTATCAAATTTTACTCAAGATTTGCCCATGCTGCTGTGATTGCCTATTTAATCTCAGTTTCTGATAAATACAGTGGTTGCAACATTATCTTCCTYGGTGAAACACATGCTTACAGTCTAGTCTGCTACACCCTAACAGCTAATGCAGTTGGAAATTTYATTTTTCATTAGAATGAACTGCTGTGCTGTGATTTCACATATGTTATTCAAACAAATATTTCAGATGCTTTTGAGAGTTCCAAGATGCTGTGTGACCAGTATTACTTAACATCTCCAGAACTGAAGCTCACTGAAGTGAATGGTAGGTTGGGGACTTTTATTCCTATTCCTGTTGGTAACCAGATTGCCTTCTGTACTCTGAAGGTTTCCATTTTTGCAGCAATAGTTGTACATACACGTACCATAATGGTGCGTACAAGTCCGTCTAGTTTGTACTGGTTCTCTTGTGCTAGTTCTGCTTTGCAAGTACTTCATTTAATTTCCCCTGATAGAACTCAGATGTCATTGTATCTTAAATTACCTCAGAAAATCTGGTATTTATGTGAATTTGAGGAAGGATGACTACTATTCTGTACTTAAGTCGCCAAAGAGGAGCGCTGTTTTTGTTTTGGGGTAGAAGTGAGGCTACTGACTGGAAAACATTGGTTCTAGTCCAGGCTCCCTCTGAGCCTAGACTAGAGCTCTCTGAGCTTCTCTGGTCTTGGGCAGTCTGCTTAAACCCTGCTAACCATTGCTGTTTATTTGAAAATGAACTGTGATTAAGCAAATGGCAATTATAATTCAAACACTCTGCAAATACATCAAGCTRTTCATTTGGAAAACATGATGTATTTTCACATTTGTTTAAGCATGTAACTCACTTACTATAAAATTGAGAAAGAAAACAGTTCTTGTTTTTTCCCTCACAGGAAAATTTCCAGGAGAACCGATTAACATTGTGTATGTTCCATCTCATCTCTTTCACATGCTTTTTGAGCTCTTTAAGGTAAGTAAACACAACCTGTTTCCTTCCTCAGTAGCCTGAGCAAGAGCTTAGATGTATAAATTCTGATAGGTCTGATTGGATTAAAGGTTTGTAGAGGATGGTGAGATTTCTAAGAAGTTGTTACATGGGGAAATAGCTTTGGCAGTTGAGATAGGAATGAGTGCAGCTAATAGGAAAATATTTGGACATTCTTATGGGGTTATAACTGGGGCAGGCTGAGGGAGAGGAAGAGAGAGCTGGGCTTTCTAAATGTTTTACATGGAGTTGTGACCATTGGTCACAACCAACCTTAAAAACTAGTCCTTAGTGAATTTTCACCCTAGTGCTTTGCCTGTGGGTTTAGGTATTTTGAGAGGTGATGAATGGGGCTGAACTCATGTGCAGCCAATATGGCATGCAGAATTCTGGGAGGCACTGCTGAACTGGACTCTTGTCCAGTATTCTGCTGACTTTAATGAAATTACTTTTTTATTTGCATTGGTAGTTAAGAAAAGTGTAGTCTTTCAATGATGGAAGAGGCTGCATTGTTTAGTYGCTTTTACATGCACAGCTTCCTCTGCTTGTTATGTGAAATTGCTAAGTGTGCTCTTGAAAGCTGGACATGATAGGAAACGTTGGTAACTGTGCAGAGCCTCTGCATAACACCAGTGTGATTTTAAGTAGATATTTCTAGCACTTTTTGATAATAATAACCTTAATTTCTGTAGAATTCAATGAGAGCAACAGTTGAATTTCAAGAAAAAAGTCCTTCCCTTTCTCCAGTTGAAGTGACAGTTGTTCTTGGACATGAAGACCTTGCAATTAAGGTAATTCATTGGCCCAAAACAGTGTGTGCTTAATGTAATTTTTATTATTTCTTACATTGCAACAAATACTGTTAAAGAACTTGATGCCTCAAATGACAGGTCAAAATTATCATGCATGGGCTTTCTGTTGATCACATCTAGAGCAATCACCTACCTAACAAAGAATACACCACAAACAAATGTTTGCATTAATTGAAGGATTTTCTCAAATACTAGTTATTTTAAATACTTTAATATATTTGATTGCAATTAGCTTTATTTTCTCTTTACTCAGATCTCTGACAGAGGAGGTGGGGTTCCAGTAAGGAAGATTGAACAGCTGTTCAGCTACATGTATTCTACAGCACCAAGGCCAAGGATGGATGATGCTCGACAAACTCCTCTTGTAAGATGATTTCAATACCTGTATTGCTAATAAGATGATAAAAATATTGCATAGATTAATCTTAAGTAATGAAGCATTATGTCCACCTTTCTGCTCTGTACAATATACAGATTATTGAKCCTCAGACATATGAATTAACAGTTTCTGAAATAGTTTTCAGTGTTCAGCTTAGCTGACAAAAACATCCCCTTTCAAGGTAAAAATGAGAATTTTAGCACCTGAATCTACTTCTTTCCCTCCCACCCTTTTTACTCCAATGACAGTAATTTAGTTGGTCTTCACTCCCACTCAGTCCTCAAGCACTATAAATATTTTTATAGAAACAAAAACAACTAAGATAGGCTTAAAATACTGTTTTTATTTCCCGAGTAGTAATCGACTTCTGCTAAACAAACCTCAATAGAAAAAATGGGAAGGGAAAATAAAGAAATGTAGTGCATTAAAGTAGTATTTCCTTTCCTTCTCGACGTAGGTTAGATTTAAAAGCTCTTTCAGAATCTAACATCTAACATTTCATATTCTTTATGAAACTTRTCAGAATGCTATCCTCTTTAAGGGAAGAGGAAATCCAGAGACTTTTTAGTAGCTTAAGATTTCTGACCACTACTCAGTTATCTAATTTTATATCATAATAGCTAGTGGGGAAGAAAAAAAAAATCTTAATTTTATGTTGTACATTGTTTTTTAGGCTGGCTTTGGCTATGGCTTGCCAATATCTCGTCTGTATGCTAAATACTTCCAAGGAGACTTAAATCTCTACTCCATACCTGGTTATGGAACAGATGCTATTATCTACTTGAAGGTATGTGTTTGGGTAACTAACAATAATGCAGTGAGGCAACTACTTCGGTATCATTTTAAGAAAAAAAAGTTCTCTATTCATGAGTTGAAAAGCTCTCATTTTGACTATGAAATACCAGAAAGCATTGATTGGTACTTAGAAGTAAAAAGTCATTCACTATTGTGAATACCGTGTGTATTTCTGCAAAATTGAGAGGTAGAAACTGAGTAACTTTTCTCCTTCTTAATTTTAGGCACTATCAACGGACTCAATAGAAAAACTTCCAGTTTTTAACAAATCTGCTTGCAAGCATTATCAAGCTACCTCAGAGGCAGATGACTGGTGTGTCCCAAGTAAAGATCCAAAGAACTTGTCAAGACAGAGTGCAGCTCTCTGAAGGGATGTTGGTGTACAAGGCATTCAAGGGGATCAAGCTGTTTTCTCAACAAGGACTACTGTTTGGAAGTATCTGTATACTTTCAAACAGGCAMATTTTCAGTTTTGTGACTGACAAGAGAAGGAAGATGAGGCATGTATAACCTAGGCTGTATGCATTGAATAAGAAATCTTGCTGTGCACTTCAGGAAAATATGTATGGAGACATTTCCCTAATGTCTTTAAAAAAGACACGTGTAAAGAGGAAATTCAGTCTATTTTTAGCTTATGATCAAAGACTTGATTTGGTAGAAGTGTACATTTTTTGAGTTCTGTCTAATGCTTGAGTTCTGAATGCTCATAAATGTCAGTTACAGTGGTTTATATTTTTCTCCTAGACTAGTTATCAGCACCTCATCTTATTAAAGAACTCGTCAGGTAGGTAGGTGCACCTGTTCTTTCAAGCTGTGTTTATAAGATTGGGAAAAGATCCTCTTAGCATGGCAGGCTGGCACCAAGATACGGAGAGGAGAGAAGTGGGCCCTGGCTGAGAGGGGGAGACCTTGCTGGGAGAGGAGACAGTATCTGCCCTATAAAAGGGGGATCCCACTTAAGAGCAAAGCAAATTGAACCCCCTGTATTCCAGTAGCAGTTGTTATGTGATGGCTTGCTCTGAGTTACTGCTGTTCCTGGAAAAAGTAGCAGGGCAAGGCTGCTGTGCAAAAGATACTAAGCAGGAAATACTTAAGGAAAGAAATGAAATAGCACTTGGTTRTTATCAGCAAGTGGAACTGAAAGGTTTTGATATGTCTAGTGCRAAAATGGCATGGGAAACTGCTTGACAAAGGATCTTGTGATACCTTTTTTTTTMCTTTTGTCATGCTGTTATAGGATTAGTGGCTCAGTAAACTAAACCAAAATCCAAAGACTGGGACCTGTGGTTCAGGTTTTGCTTCTGTGTAAAATCCAAGAACCTCCCCACAGCTTTGTCAAATTTGTATAGGGCCATGCTTTAGCTTTAGCTCAAAGGTGTACTTGGAGACTCCGAAACTTGACAGCTGCAATGAGCACTAAACCTCTGTTTTTAGGAGAAGGTTTTCAGAAAGAATGGTGGAGAAATAGAATTTTCTTGCAGGAACTATTCTTTACAATGGAAAATRTTTAGTAATTGAAAAGGTTTAAAATACGAATAGTAATGAAAAGTCAAATAACTTTTATGAATAGCAAAATACGGGGGAATGRCTACAGGAAGTATGTCAGTAGGAAAGAGCTGTTGGGAAAATATTCCATTTTCCATGAGGTTCATTTCCCATTTCTTTGTGGACTTTCACCTCATAAGTGAGGTAAACGTAAGAACAGGGTGAAAGTTAAGTTCTATTTGGAATTGCCAAGCTGKCCAGTCAAAGTTCATCAGAGATGTGTATTTTTACTTGAAAACCTTTTGACTTATCAGCATCATTATCTTAAGTGTTAATGATCCTTGGCAAAGGCTCCAAATACAGCATATATAAGTACAAATGMAAATACAAAGCATTCTGCCCGCTCGTATGATAGCTTTCTAAAGCACAGTCATATGTGGTGGGTAGAAAACCACTCCATACTCTACTGTGAATATCAAATGTATTTCTCAATAGCAATAAKAGAAAGCTAGAATTATGTTTTTATTCTAGCAGTCCTATTGGGGTAGGAAAATATTCAGGGGTCCTGAAATAGCATCTGATATGCTTCACTTGTTTTAGAAACTTAAGTTTAGAAGCATTTTTGTTAAATACTAAGCATAATAACTTAAGTACTACATGGAGGCCCATTTATGCKAGTGAATAACATGCTCACTGAAAGTCTAGAGATTATTTATCTTAGAGCTCAACTCAGTGAATGGAATGGATAATATAAATGAAATATCTCTTTCTAGAAAATACAGGTGTGCAAAAATTCACTGCCATAATATACTTGAATACTTTGTTGATTTTGTATTGAATACAAGGTCACAAAAACATACCTAGGTAGTCATTGTTGTTAAGTAAACACAAATGATACCTCTTTCTTTGTGCTCGATTATGCTTGAACATGAGTTGTGATCTCATGACATACTGTATATCTGTAATATAGCTTCAGCTWCTCCAGGTGGGAGCTGTGACTTGTATTTCAAAGCAGTTGAAGCACACAGGTGCTGTAAGCACATGTCTGTAATAGTGCTTGTCGTGCTTGCAGATAGAAGTTTTCTGCATAAGTGTAACCTTTGAACTTGTGTGTTCAGAACACTGTAGCGGTACAGACAGTGGGAGGTCCATAGCACTATAGGAATCCATATGAAATATCTCTTAATAGTGAAAAGTTATTTAAGGGCTGTCTACCTAGATGAACACAGTGCCTTTTTCAGCAGTTACTTTTTTAAAAAAATCCTGAAAATAAAGCTCTAGTTTTAAGACTTTTATTGGTATGTAGATGTATAAATAATTTTATAATAAAAATCTTATAACTGATTGGCCAGCGTCTTTGTTTCTGTCTTCTAAGAAGTATACTKCAAGCACATGTTCTTCCACTGATTTTAGTCATGAAGACTTCAAATGGAGTTCAGCAAAGTCGCAGAGTCTCAGAGGTCTGCTGAGACTTCACTTGGTGGCTGAGGCCTCAAGCAACTGAGTCTTYCTTCAAGGAGGAGAAATTGAGAATCCATCTCCAGAGTCCAGAATCTACCCTCTTTACCAAATTTACTGTTCATCTGTAACCTTGATGAAAATTGACCGTCAATTTAGAATTGTACAAAAACCACCTTTTTTTTCTGCCATTTTATTTACATAAATCATTACTTCTAATGCATAAATTCTGTATAAATTCTGTATTTGTATTGTGTATTGAGATATTTCTATAGGTTTCACATTTCAATTTTAAATACTATTGTTTGGATTGTAAAACTTGATTCTAAACCCCCAAACTATGTAGGATTTTCAACTTCCCAGGCTGAACTTCTCGGTGCTTTATTTTCAAAGTTTCCTAACTATTGTGAGAACTGTTATTCTAACCCTAAGTGTTGTTCCACATGAGTACAGTAGAAAGCAATGGATGTTTTCAATTATCTTCATCTCACAACATATTTTTTATTGCATACTACCTAGAAGAAGCAATTCTGGTCAGCACTGGGTTTTAGCAGGGTATGTTTTGGTGCAGAAGGAGTGACGGAGGGAAAGGGTGGGAAAGGCATGTTATTTTAATATATCATYTCTGGTACTGACAATCTCCTTGATAATGTCCACTGATTTCAGTCATTTCCAAGTATCAAAAATAACCTGAAACTGAGAGCAAAGAACTTGGTAAATACTAAAGGCGAGTTTTTCCACAGTACAGAGTTGGGCAACTTGTTCCTCTTACTCTTTCTGAGCTGAGAGAATTTTGCCTTATCTTATCCCTTTTGATAAAAGCTTCAGTGACTTGATGTTACTTGACTTCAACCTTCAAGTTTTCACAGTACTGAAGGGCATTCATTGCACTTCTGTAGATTAGAAGCAGCAGATGTTTTTGAGAGCTGATGTAGTTGTAATTGAGGGGGTTTCTATTCCCTAAGAAATCTGACTCTAAGGGAGGTGGCCCTAAGAAGCTTCAGGCTTCTCACCAGGAATATTTGCTTTCAGTTTTGCTCTTGAGGAACAAATAGAGCTTGTTAAACTGTTCTTTCCAATGCCATAGTTGTGTTGTTGTCTTTCCATTTGTCTTGCACTTGGCTTTTAATTTAGAGACTAGGTTCATATGATTTGATTGTTTGAGAATACTTGTATAAATATTAATCTCACAATATCACCTCCTGGATTGCATCTCTTCTGCAGAATCCTACTGCAGAGCAGGAATAAATTCATTTTCTAAATTCCTAAGGGGGAACTTAAACATCATGTAAAATAGACAGCAAGCAGGCCCCAGAAGATCAGCTCAGCCTCTGAAAGTAATAAGTGGCTCTTCCAAGGCTGCTGCTGTATAACTGATGTGGTTATGAAGATTCCACTGGCGGTGCAGGATTCCTGATGCTTGCACTGAGTTTAACCACACAGACTTCAAATGGGGTTCAACCCTTAATGAATATTGTTTCCACATGCTAAACAAAACTATCCATTTCAGCTCTGAGGTAGTGGCACAGCTGTTTTCAATGCCTGCTCTGCGTTAGGACCACAGGTATTGGGCAGAATAGATGGTGCCATAACGAAATGTTCCTCTACCAGTGGCAGATMCGTTGCAGATGTGGCACCTTTCGGCAGTGAGGCAGCAGAGCTCTGTCCATGACCACCAAGGGCGTCGCAGTCTCCCCTGCAGTGCGCTCTGCTCGCAGGCCTTCACGGCCTGCCAAGCTCCTGCAGGTCCAGAAAGCTCCAGAAACTGATTTATTTTTTTCATTCTCTCTGCACAAAACACAATGAGGAGAAGAGGCCATGAGGTCAACTCCTGATTCAGCAAAGCACCAGCAGTCCTGAGAAGGACCAACTGAACAACAAGCTGTTGTTCATTATCATTACCTTCCTACTGCTTACCCAAGCCTTCAGACACACCAGACTTTGTCCTCATGGTGTAATAATGCCCTTCCTGTAGCATTATTCCAGAAGGTCTCTGAATGGCCTTGTACCTTTGATAAGAAATACTATTGGTCTTGAAAAACAATTTTTCACTCCTTGCAGTAGAAATGATTGGAGACTTAAAAACATTTGAGTTATAACCCCCAGGAACTGYTTGTCCTGAACTTCTTGAAAAATTTTAGCCAACGAGAGTGAGAAATTAGCAGTTTGTGATTTTCCAGACTCAGCCAATTGGGAATAGTGACGACAAGCACAGGAGAAATGGTGAACAGGAAGGGGCATTTTTTCTGTGTTAGCAGTTTTGAATTTTCTTTCTCTAAATAATTACAACACAATTTTAAATGACCTGTGTGCAGATCCTGAATTACAGGTCCTCAGACGGTTTCCTGCACCTATATCTGCTTAGGACAGGCACTCTCAGGGTGGAAACACCTCTTGAGGATCTGGCCAGATGCTGCTTCAGTCAATAAAGAGAAAGCAGGACCGTCCTGGTAGACTCTCAAACATGTTGTAGGGAAAGCATGTGGATAGCCTAAATTGCTCCATGCCATTCTAAATGTTGAATAGCAGCAAGGTTTTGGGACACAGTCCTGTTTTTTTCACCTTTTTTTTTTTTTTTTTTTTTTGGTGTGTGTGTGTGTGTGTATAACTGTTCTACAGAAGGAATACATGCATAAGATATCAGGAACTGCTCCTCAACTGATCTCTTCTAACTTGCCCTGCAACCAAGAAAGAAAATCTAAATGGAGCACACGAATTGTCCCCGTGAAGAATGAGCTCCTTCACTTGGCAGTTCCTATCAGGAAAGCACAAGGAAAGGCAGAACTCAWTTAATTTCCTGCTGTGTTGAGTGGAGAGCACCAAGCCTCCCTGGAGTCAGGTCAAGCTAAACCCAGACAGACCTGAGAAATRCAGCAAGAGTCATCACCCTTCAGGATTGCAGACCTGCCTATTTAGAGTTGGAAAAGGATTCATAATCTAAGGAAGACACTTTTTAAATTATGTTATGGTGATATATCCAGGTAGGCCTGCTCTCTGAGGGGCTCAAATGAGAATGACCAGCAAGAAAAGGAGATAACTACATCTGCCTTGTAAACTGGGCTTTCTGTTTTGTGTCCCCTGAGAAGACAGAGCCTCAAAACTGAGAGCCTTGGCACAGGATTCAGTTCACAAGTGTGACACTTTAATGTGATGCTACATAAGTAACTGTGTGCCTACGTGTGTGGTGGGTCTCCAAGATCCCACTATATTAATGAGAGCATCCTGAGGACTCTAAAAGCTATTTAGTTTACGCTGAAGTAGACACTAGCTTTGGCTATTTGAATAGTCCTCCTGTGGTGATCAGAGTTGAACTAACTGTAGTGGGATCTTAGATACCTAACTCACATGTAGGCACCTACATATTGGTGCCTTCAGCTGCCTCCCAGCTGTTTCAGTTTCCTAAGCACAGACATCCCATTCTACATGAGAAGCTCTAGAGTATCCTGCTCATCTCCCATCTCTTACCCCAGAACAGAGGATTTGGTCCTTGGTTACATCTGCCAGTCCCATGAAAATATCTGTTACGGCTCCTCTAGGCCTCCTCAAATATTATCAAACATGGATGTTTAGGCAAATGGCTTGAGCCTCCTTGCTAATTCTGAGTGATTATGGAAGGCTGGATACACACACAGTTCAACCAGCATTGCCTCCCTGTTGTTGCTAGCAGAGTGGATAGATAACGGACAACTATCTTCAGGATAATGAAGACGCCGCCTGCGTCATGTGAGTTCCTCACCACTGCCCTGCGTTTCCTACCATGGTGGGTCTCTCTGTGTTTCTCACAGGTCATGGTACCCCACGGCTTCAGGGAGTGGTGTAAGGCCCCTCTCCTGGGGCTCAGCMGTGCAAGCACCTAAGGCCAAAGACTTCTCTCTAGGCTTAAACGCCCAGGCAGAGCTCAAGCTTATAGGGTGCTTGACACCTGAATAGTACTTAGTTGTCAACTGGATGCGTTTTTAAGAGAAAATTAGGAGCTGAGTGTAACTCATTCTGAATATTGTTAGACAGTTTTGGACATAGTGAGAAACTGGGTGCACTGAACACCTTTTTGTTAGCATTTTTGCTTGCAAATTTGCTTTTCTATCAACATAGTAACTTCCAGCACTGCTGGTTGATTTTTAACAAACCAACTGGGAATCAGGGTGGAATACCTGGCAGGGATCCTCGTCCTTTCCTCCAATCAGTGTGGCATGCACAATTAGTGATGTGCTTTGCAACGGGGATTGGTGACATGCAGCCACTCCCCCACCAACAAGGGATATCAGTGGAGGAATTCGACCTTGGAGCAGAGGTTTCTATGACTCTGCATAACAGCAGGTACATGTTGTTCCATCACAGCTGGGAGAAATCTGTTTATGTAGGCATAAATCTCAATTTGTGTTGACACAAAAGAACTTGCTTCTACTTAGCAAGACCTGATATCAAATCCCCTGAAGTCGCTGGACAGCTTTCTGCTGTTTCTAGTCAAGTTTGCCACAGGCCTTACATTAATACAAAATGAAAAAAAAAAAAATTCATTTTGGAAATCTGACCTGGGACTCTCTTGGGGTTTTCATTCTTCATATTATTTGCAGAGATGCCCAGAAGCCATCTACTGTTCTGATTTGCTTGGTGAGGTTTGTCTTTGCCCCCATGYCCTCCTGGCCCTTTGCTTTCCTATTTCTGCTGCTGGTGCCAGTCAGTACACACCTGCATAACTGACTGATGGGAACCAGGCTTCAGAGACATATCACACTGCCAAAAGCTTTTGCTGATTTTTCAAGGCCATTGGATACATTGGATGATCAGTTCATTTAAGGAAAAAAAAAAAAAACCTCAGCACTTTCTGCACTT